GGCAGTAGCACGACTTGGTTTCAAATGGCATGCTTCTTCACTTCCTTGGTTGCTATCTCTGGTCGTTGTGCTAATTTCTTTTGATCGCTGGTTCTTCTGGTTCCTTTTCTGATCCATTCCTTCGCTTTTTCCTCTTCTTCTTTTGCTTTTTTCTTAGTTTTTTCAAATAAACGTTTCACTCGTTTAACTTTTGCTAGAGTGAACGTTTTCGCTTCTCATTACTGACAGATCCATTGCTGATGGACTCCAAAGATCAAAGGGGAAAAAATGCTGACGGCAAAACAAAGGCATTTATTCAGTTAATGTGTGACAAATAGTTGATTGTTTGTAACGAGAGGACGGCAAAACCTGTAATGTGATTTGATAGAAAGACAATAGGAAAGTAACAATCAAGACATAATCATCTCCTTCCACACCAACACCCACTCATAAGCCTGATGAAATTACATTCTCCTCCACATGAGGAGAGAGAGAATGGTCTTCTTCAGTGTCTACAGATAAACAATTTGCAGATTAAGATACTCAACAGATGTATTACTGTAACCGCTCATGGTGGAGGACAGCTCTAGAGAAACACTGCTTTCCTTTAAATCCAGACTTAGCGACGACTTCTCCAATGCACTTTGGATAATATCAATTTTCTTCTCAGTCAGCTCCAGATCCAACGTATTTTTCACAGATTGCACTGGCATGGGATCATCATACTGCCAAGCTGGTCCTCTGTGCAGACACAGCTATTTATGGCTAAGCTGGGAAAACATGGTCTGAAGCCAAGATGAGTAATGCTCCTCCATACCAGGTTTCTGCATTTTGCTGCTACCAAAAAATCGAATGTTATAATCGATTAAGCCAAAAGGCATTATGTCCAAGGGCAATCGTGTAGTTTAACCGTTGAAGCATCTACTTATGTCAAGGCACCCAAACTTGCATATAGAAAAAAAAAATCAATTCCATGGTCTTGCAAAACCAACAATTTAAAGATGTTCCAATAATTGAGTCCTCAGCCTTGATTAAACTGCCTCACCACATCACAAACACTCTGCTCTTCACCGTTACGCGGTGAACAACTGAAAATAGGTGACAGGCAGGTATCGTCCACTAGCACAGTTTTATGTGGGGTGCTTCTGGCCCTTTTCTCAAAAACGCTACTTTTGTCAAGTACAAAGGAGCTCTTAACATAGTCAATTTTCTTGATCGCACTCTGACCATACTCTGTATCCAAAAGGATAACTGATTTTTGTGTACGGATCTATCATGCGCTTGTCAAAAACGAGTCCATATTGTTTGGCCTGGTTGACCAATTTGATGGTCTTGTAGGTCGTGTCACGTTTAAAATGATTTGGGTTGTTAACCCGAATGACACGCCTCTCTTCCTGGGGATCCTTCCTGGGAGTCCCCTCAATCAAGAATTTGTAAAAGTAGAAGGCATGCACGAAGTAAATGTGTCACCCCCCTCTTTACAAAACAACGTGACCATTGTGGGAACGAGCAAACTGACCACCGAAGTGCAAATAGCACTGGAAAACTTGTTCGAGTCTAAAACATTGTAATTTTTTTGTTTGGACGGATTTCGTTTAAAAAATGACTTTGTAGTACGAGAATTGGGATGGTGTGACAAGTCTGGCAAGCGGATGGGATTTATTCATTATTCACACGATTATGTCTGGTCTAGTCTGAGCCAGCAAGAACGGAGAACTGTGAAGTATGTGCGTGGCATGGTGACCAGGTTAACCTTTAAGCCGAGACCCGTGGACTTTCAAAGGGGACGCTTTGGTCTGCCAAAAAAAACGTGACCCCGGACATCTTTTCTTTGTGGGAACAATTCAAGACTACGACTCAATGCATAGTCGCCTACAAAGGAGGAACTTTAGAAAAGACTTTTTTAACTCATTAAAAATTCCGTTTGTTAATTTAGAAGAGTAAGGTTGTCCGAAATTAGATTATTTGCCAGACACCTATTATCCACTTGTTAATTGCGGCTGTCATTTTAATTTAAGCTTTCACTGTAGTATGGCCGAGTGTAATGCATTTATGCGTTGGTTCAATAAAAACACAGTAAATGATTTTAAAATTGTTTTATTCACTGTTTTCTAGTTCTTCCTTGATCCACAAATACTTTACTTCCTTTGGGTACAAGTACTGAAGGGCTTCTCTTTTTGCCACGTGCAGCCAGCGAGCCATAACGATCTTCACATGGTCTGCATTTAAGTCGCTTTCTTGCCCGATTACTTGTTGTGCGATTTTTTTGGCGTGATACCTGGCTCTCGTCTTCGCATTGAATGTCTCTCTATTTTCCTGCCTCCATTTTTTGGTCTTTTCTTTTGTCTTGGCTCTGTTTTTTTCTTGGTACCGGTACCTCCACCAGCTCTCTTGACGTTTCTCTTTGTTTTCCAGACACCATTTCTTGTTCAGCATGGTCTTCCTTTCTTTATTTTCCAGTTTGGCATACCATTTTCTTTGGCTTTCCTTTCTTTTTTCTTTCTGCTCTTGGCTCAGGTTCTTCCACAATTTACGGCTCAGTACGGGCATGATGAACTAATGTCGTTGTGCAATAATTTTTTCTGTCACGCGTTTTGACTAGAAATGATGGTGCAATACAAAACTGGTTTTTCCAGACTTGTTTCATTCTGATGGTGCAATACTTGACCCTACAAAAAAGGGAGCGATAGGCTCATTTTTATCATTCGAAGCCATGGATCTTCAAGTACCTTCCCTTGCCGTTCTATCCGCTGAAAATGCCACTCTAAACGATCAACTACAATGGCTGTACGATTTTCCCTTTGCTGCCCTAATCAGAAGGCCTATTTTTCAGACCCCGTTGAATAACATCCTCAAGTCGCTGACCCCAAATCAGCTTTTAGAGTACATGGTCAACTGCCACTACAATCCAGCTATGACGGACAGAATTGTAAAAGAGATGTTTCGGCGATTTTCTTTGGACACCTTGGAACTAATCTCCAGGAGTTTCCATGTAGATCACCCGTTTGCCAAAGCCATGGATTTTGCGATACATAAGGAACGAATGTCAGGTACGATAACTTTACTCAACCGATGGAGTATTTGTTTGTTTCCTCCCCCTTGTTCTAAGTGGGTGATTCGTTTGGATTGTAAACAATGTGACATAAGTATTGAGTACAGACTATTCAGCACCTTGTAAATACCTGGGCTGTCATTGGTGCGATGGCTATTTAACCGTAGGATGTAAAATGCTGTTTAAACCATTACATGAAGGAAGTATAATCCTGGACCCTTACTGGGACTAAGACTTGAATTTTTTTTCCAGGTACAATCGCTTTACTCAATACCTGGGTTATTCATACTTTTCCTCCTGTTTATCCCATGCGAATGCTTCATTTAAGATGTAGACGATGTAACATTACCATTACGCACAGACTATCCAGTCTGCGTGAATACGGAACCTGTTTTTGGTGCAACCGTTAAGTTTCCTTTTTTAATTTTTTCAGGCTCACTTGACATTTGCGTTCAATACCGCTTTCATAAACGATTCATTGCTCCTTACCACTGGTACAAGGTTAAAAACAGCATTGACACCATTCGCTTACGCTGTTGTATCTGTTAAGCACATGTGCGATCTATTTTCGACAGGGAAACTCCCTACAAGGGATGCGAGATGTTAATAAACTTGGGTGTGGAAATTTAATTTTGCAGTACCCATGAAAGTCTTTGTGAAAAGAAAGGAACTTGTTCAACCCAGAAGACCAGACTGTTTTGTGTTTTACGCTCCTCACGTTACTTTTATTACGGACTCTTTTGTAGATACCTTTCATATCATTGAATGTTTTATTGGAGAAAAGGACAACAGAAGGGTGTTCATTTATTTTTAATTTTGCAGACTCCCACCTTGTTTTAGCTCACAATATAATCGATTATAGCCGCAGTGATGGCACATTATGGTTAAAATGTCAAGACTGTCAAATCCACTTGAGACCCGTTAAATTTGTCTGTCAACTCTGTGGGGGATGTGACATTTATTGCTTTGAAGACTTTGTCGATTTTGTATTAGAGGATTAAAAAATTACTTTTTTCTTTTTTCTAGACATCTACCATATTGTATCGCATTACTTTTTATTTTATTCTTGCCCGATCAAAGGAAAAATAGCTTTTGTCAATCCACGCAACTGGTGTATATTTTATTAAGAGACCATTTTTTTCCTTTAGAATCCATTCACGTGTTAACGCATTATACTGTATTTAGAAGTTGGCCGTGTGATGGCGATTTTCCCTCGTATAAAGGAAAACTTTCTATTGTAACGCACCGGTTGCTACTACTAATCTTGATGTCCTGCAATAAGTTTCAACTCAACGATTACCAAGTGTTGGCGAACGTGTCGTAGCGGCAGGAAGACAATGTTTAGTAGGATGTAGCGCAAGACTGATTGGTGTTGTGGTACTGACTATTTAATGTCATGTTGTATGGTACATGAATTAGTGTGATGAAGTATCTAGTACGTATTAGTGTGTCCTGCAGTACGACATGTTTGACAAATCACTTGCGTGTAGTATAGTTCATAGTTCACTCCGGGCTAGTCAAAGTACGTGTGGCGGCCTGTAGGCTGTGCTCGTTTCCCTCGTGCTCCTCTTCCTCGGCCTCGCGTCGTTCCCCTGGTGGTTGCTCTGGTTGCTCGGGGACGAGCTGCGGTGGCTTTTCTCTTGGCTGCTGGTGCAGAGTTACCCGCCGATGTGCTGCTCTCCGCACTGAGCCCAAAGCTGGCCCAAATGTTAGTCGTGCAGGATGGTCTTTTTCTCGCGGCTGGTGTTTTCCCTTTTTGGGTGCGCAACAGAGTGCCCAGCTCCTGATATGGGTCTGGGTCTTGCTGCGTTATGAACAGGGCGTGTTCCGCCGATGATTCTTGTGTGTTAAACAGCTCCTCCTCCTCGTTGTATTGCTCCTCGTCCTCGTCCAGTATGTTGGGGCGGGGTCGTCTGCGGGTTGGAGGAGCAATTTGTTCCTCTTGGTCATCGTCCTCATAGGGACACTTTGCTTCGTCGTCTTCGACGTTTTCTTCTACAGCATCCCAAAAGGTAGCAGTTTGGCGCGCTTGCCTAGTAGAACTTCTTTGGGTGAGCGCGTCCCAGATACTGCCGCCCTGTTCCTCTTCGGGCACTATTTCCGTGTGACTCAGTGTCTGTGAGGCTATATATGCTACCATGGACTCCCAAGATGGGTTCTGTTTGAAAGAGTGTACTTCCGGTGATTCCTGATGCCTCTTAGCGTATTCAGCCGGGTGGCTGAATAATGTTTCTAGAGTCATCATGTGCGTTGCTATTGAGAACATTGTGCCGGATGCCGCGAACAGGTGCTTGCAGAGACTTTTCAGGGTGTCATCCTCAATAAATTTCATTAAATCGGCCAGATCGCGTTCATCCGGTTCTTCCGCTGTCGCAGAATCTTTTTTGTTGAATCTCTGTAGCACTGTCCTGATGGGTCTGGCTTTGTTCAGCAGAGGGTCCACGGCGTGTCTGGTGAACACCTTGTCTTTATATTTGGCGAGTGTTGCAAGGTTCGCATACAGAGTGTCTGCGAGTTCGCTAATGGCATAATTCGGCCTTGTCAACCACTCGCAGTTCCAATGGAAGGAGGTCATGCGTTTTGCCATATGGGGTTAGAAAATGTTTGGTTTGGTGTTTGAAATAGTTGACGCCGGTTTTGGTCTCCGGCGTCCATGGGTTTTGATTGCGTCTTGACATAGCTGCAAAGAAATATTTGCGCGTGAGATTGTACATTGACGCATCAGCAGTTACCGTTCACAGCGTATGTGTATCTCTGCTCAGCTGCTATGTGACAACGGGTTGGAGTCGATAGCGTCACGGAAGTCGGGGAAACGGGTGAGTGCAGACTGACTATGAACAACAAGGGTGGCATGTGTAACATACAGCGGCCTCGTGTAAGACATGCTATGGACAAGTGCTTCGTTGAGGCGCGAAGACTAGGTGTTTAAGTTAAGGCTGGGGTCAACTGGTCAGCTAGCATTGGTGTCAGGATCCTGATGTCCTCACTCTTGCGTACTCTGGAGAGAGCGACATATCCAATACCGCTGGGGACAGTAGGGCAGTCGAACTAGACGATCAGCTTTTTGATGTTAGCGCCTTGCGTTTTGCAGATCGTCATGCAATAGGCTGGGTTTAGGGCATAGTGCACTCTACTGTGCCGGTCTTCAGTGGTGGTCGTGACAGGGTAGGTGAACGTCGTCTTCCCATTTGGAAACTTCAAGAGGAGGAGGTTTTGGATTGTGGCGAGCTGGCTGTTGACCACACCAGTACGTTTGTTTAGATTTTGAGTTACAACGATGCGCATGTCGCGAAAAGGCAGGAAGTCGTGGACGTCATTCTCGAGGGGTATCGTCGACACCGGTGTTTTCTCCTGGAACATGCGGGCAATCATGATGTTGTTGACACAATTTGCTGCGTCAGGGGAGACTGTTAGAAAGGTGGCATCTGGGGTGTCTTTAACAGTGTGCCATATGTCTAAGTCCGTTATGTCGGATTGGTTGAATAGAAGCAAGGGGGGCTGGAAGTTGTCCACCACGTACTGTTAGGGGCGGCTATATCGGATGTATTGCAAGAAGTCCATATACGGCTTGTCGGTGCAGCGGAACTGCTGATACAGGGAGTGGATCTGGCAGACTTCGCACAAGCAGTGGTTCTTCAAGATCGACGTGGTCTGGGTCGTACAGCCGTTGATCGTCTGTAAGGGCGGTTGTTGACTTTCGTTGCCGGCGATGATGACGAGGGGGCGATAGACCTGTTTCTCGAGTGTATCGTGGATCATCTTGAAGGTATCGTCAGCGACCATGGAAGCCTCGTCAATGATGATGGCATCGTACTTCCCGATGTTATAGTTGACGACGTACTGTTGGTCCGCCCGTGACAGAGATGTTGAACAGCGCGTGGATAGTGTCAGCCTGTAGTTCGGGGTAGAATTCCTCCCTGTAGTTGGTAGCAAGAAGACCCAGGGGAGCGCAGTAACGGAGTATTCTTCTTCAATTAAGGTGTGGACCAGGCGCTTCACCACTTGAGTCTTCCCAGTTCCCGGGCAGCCTAAGAGGAGTTGGTATTTGAGGTGATCAGTTGAGTTTTCCTCTGCTAGTTGGTTCGTAGACGAACTGTCTCGAGGTGACCATGTGCCGTAGATCTGACGTTGGCGTGCCTGCACTAGAGAATAGTATCTGGTGTAGATCGTTCGTTGCTGTGGGGAGAGAGGATATTTCATCTCAAACTGGGAACGTTCAGATGTTGCAAACCACGCCGGGCTGCTGAGCCCGCGGAATCAGCCACCAAAATCGTCAGCAATTTTTTTCAAAATGGCGGCCAATTTGAAAGGCTGTTTAATAACCAAATTTATGGCATAAATTATAAAAAGCAGAGATTTCTGGGATTTTTGGAGGCCTGGCTGCAAGACCACGAGGAAAACGAATTTTTTGAAGTCATTTGCTGAATTTCAGGTACGTTTAAGTGTGTTTTTACGCTCTTTTTTTGTCG